TTCAGAAACCTGGCCGTGATAAGCAGTCTAAAATGTATCTGCAATTTGCCCGTTTTTACCCCCCTCAACCCCCCTTTTGACATTTTCTTAATTTTTTTTTTTAGAAATGTAGATCACGTTGAGCGAAGTCGAATGCCGTTTGAATTTTGAAAATCGGCCCGTTAGATCTCGAGATATCAAGGGGGGGTCGTAAACAGCCCCCCCCCCTGCCACTAATAGGGGTAGCCAGGAGCCTGCCACTAATTAAAGTCCAGCAACATTGGGCCTTCTAAGGTCAGATTGAGGCCCATTGGCCACGGAGACCAGCTTGAGGCCCTCTGAAGACAATGCAAAGCCTTTTTAGGCCAGTGTGGGGCCCTCTGTGACCACCGTGAACCCTCTGAGGCTATAGCGTGGGCCATCTGTCATCTGACTTCAGAGGCTGGTGCTGGGCCCTCAGAAGCCAGCGCGGGCCTTCATAGGCTGGCGTCGGGCCATTAGAGGCCACCTCGAGGGCATCGGCAACCACTCTTCAGACCTTATGCATGTTTCCCCCCCCCCCCCCGAGGTAGAAGTGGCCCTTAACCTCGCCGTAAAGGGGGAGGGGGATCGAACGGACCCCCCTCAGTTTTTCCCGAATAACTCCCGTAAAAAGCGGCCGATTGCGACGAAACTTTCAGTACCTTCGCGTTAACCCTCGCCGGACCTATTGGTTTTCTACATACGCGCCGGCCGAGGGGGGGGGGCGGGTACGACCCCCCCCCCTCGCCGTTTCGCCCCTGGTGGAGCTAGCGCGTCGCGGAAAAAACGAGCGTGTGCGCCGTTACGAGACGCAGAGATTGGTACCCGATTTTAAGGTCCTAGGTCAACCGGTGGCCTCTGAGGTCAGGTCAAGTGCCCCAAGGTACGGTTCAGTTTTTGGTGAATAACTTCGCAAAAAAACGGCCGCAGCGCCGCGATTTTGGCAGCATCGTGTTCGCCTTGCTCAGGCGCGTCGAATGATATACTTTTTGTTCGGGTCAGGTCAACTTGGGGTGTTGACCTCAGGTCAAGGTCAGGTCAGCACCCTAAGGTCACGAAGTTGGTCGAAAGGGGTCATGTCGCATATCATTCGATTCGGCAGGTCTTCCTGAGTCCATTGGTGGCTTCCCCGACTCGCTAGCTCAATTTGATCAAGAGTTATTGACGAAAAACTAATATGACCTTGATGACGTCATAAATGACGTCACGCAGGGTCAACATTGCAAAAGTGACGCATCTCACCTTGCAAGGAGTGCATCAAATCACGATTCTGTGTGATTGAGATGGTGGGAGATCGTTCCCGGCGCCAGAATAGCAGTTCGAATTTTTCCCCATTGACTTATAATGGTGAGGTCACGAAAATGACCTGACCTCATATGACCTTTAGGAAAAATCCGAGATATACAAGTTGTGAGACTCATAATGGATACTAGATCCTGCAAGTTTCATTTCCCTGTGACATCTCCTCTGGCAGTGAGGGCGTTGCGAAGTTGCGACATCTGAAGACCGTGCAGAGGTTCACTTATGACGTCATAGGTCAGTGACCTGACCTGACCCAAAAATGCGGTTGGTGTCAAAAGATGCGGCTTGGATCAAAGGTCAGGTATGCCAAGTTTCAGCTCTCTATCGCCAGCGTGTTCGGAGCTATCGCGAAAAAACCCTATGGGGGGGCGGCACCCGCCCCCCCCCCCTCGGCCGGCGAGGGTTAATCAATTTTACACCTAGGTACCCAGAAAATTTCATGACCCTAACCCTAATGAACTTTGATCCGTGACCTACTTTTCGAAACCATGTTTGGCCGGAATCGCGATTCGACGTATGTCGGCTCGCATTAGCCGCGCGATTGCAGTTTTTCGTGGTTTCAAGCGTTCAAACATGGGATATGATGTTGCTCCCATGTGGGTGTCATGGTCACCAGAAGGTCAGATCATTGACCTTTGATGACCTCTGTTCACTTCTTCGAGTTTTACATGTTTCAAGGCTTGTTTTTGGAGCTGAAGCAACCATTTGAACATTTACGAAGTAGCTTTGGTGCCTTCATAACATGATATGAAACTGTCAGAGGGGGCTGCCACCTACTACGAATACCCGGCAAAACCCTTACTGGTTGACCTGACCTGACCTGACCCGACCTGGCCTAAATGCATGAAGACACCATCTATGATCATAAATATCAGCACCCCGAACAACCCAATAGCCGCGACCCTTTACGACGTTCTAACAGGTCCCGATTTTCCAGACTTTTGGGTCATTGGCCTAACCTGGAAGGTCAACCGATGACCTAGGACTTTAAAGGGACCCTCCCACCTTCAAAAAAGTTAATGAATTGGCATGAAAGTGATGTCGCTCGGTTCAGAAAGAGCAAAAACGAATATCTACCAAATTTCATCGAAAAATATTCACCGGTTTTCAAGATATTAGACTTTTACTTTTGTTTACTTTTTGCGATCTCCGCTGTTCCTAGCGACTTTATTTGAAAGTGCGGCATTTGTTGTGCGCAAAGCAGCATATACCACCGCGTGCTACAAAACGTTTTAGTCAAACATTTAACGGACGTTTGAAAGCCTGATGACGTCATCAGATTCCCGTAATGGTTAAGAGATAGGGACCACGCTGGTCCCACCCTGCAAGTAAAGGGAAGAAATTTCTTGAACACCATAAAGCTGCGGGGGTTGCGACCAGGATAAATGGTGGTTTCTGAGCCTGGCCGCAAACTTGGCTATCTCAACTCAAAACTAATGTTAAGGTGGGAGGGTCCCTTTAAAATTGGGTATCATCGGCTTCCTCTTGCCACGGGCAACACGCTCATTTTCCGCGAAGCTATAGCTCGATCAGGGGCGAAACGGCAAAGGCCGGAGTGGGACCCTCAGCTGGCATCATGGGCTTCTGCCTTCTAAAGACCGGCGTGGGTTCGAGAGCGGCATAGGGACATCAGAGACTGACTCAGGCCAATGTCAATGTGGGCGACATAGAGCCATCAGAGTCTAGATCAGAGCTCAACCCGAGTCGGCCCCTTCTAAAGTTAAGGGCATTAGCCCTCAGCCAGCGGAAGGCACTAAGAGATTGACATCTTCCCTTTGAAAAAAATTTCCAATAAAAAAATTGACAAAAAACATTTTGCTTTTGATAATCTTTATAGCGAAAACCAAAGCAAAAAAACTGTATGCCTACTGCTGGAACAAAATAGCGCCCGTACACTACAGAGCTATCGATTCGATACCGATGACTTTTTCACGTTCTTTTTTTTTTCCTTTTTTCTTTTTTAGATTGCCGAGTGTGCCTAAAAATGCTCCCTCACATGGCGAAAGTGGCCAAGAACCGCACCTAGGCGTGGGTTAAGTACGCTACTACTGGGGCCCCTAAGGTCAAGATTACTTTACTTACCCTAAGGTAAGGGTGGGGCCCCTTGAGCAGGTTTGGCCTCCCCCTTTTCAAGATCCTGGATACGCCACTGTCTGTCATGATAGGGATTGATTCAGTGTGGCATTTTATTCAACTTCATAATCGGACATTGTAGGTTTGACGACTTTTTGCCCCACCAACTTCCCTGGAAAAGCTCCACCCATGCTCGGGATCAAGATACCTATAAGAAACAGGTAGATCCGATGTTTGAAAGTAAAGCCCCAGTCACAAATTTGACGCACCTGTGCCATTTCCTGACACCCACGTGACTATTGTATTAAAGGGACTGTCCCACCTTCAAAAAATTGCTTTGATATACTGTTCTTGTGTTGCAAGACATAGATTATCGGCCCCTTTACACGAAATTGGCAAACATTCGGCCCATAGTTGGCTAATTGTTTAAAAATTCCAATTTAAAGCTTTTGGATCGATTACGTCATATGATTGTTTTTTTATCGGGCAAAGTTTTTTTCCTAGCTGCCAAATTGGTGGCACAAAGTTTTGTTACGCTTCTGCCGCGAATAGTACAAACATTGCGCATGAAATCAAATATCAGGAACTTGGGCCTACCTGACCGCTTGGAACAGCGTGAGAGTTCCGGTTAGCACCTTGGTCCACTGGATGTGGTGCTTAACCCAAACCAACCAACCAACCATCAGGAACTTGGTATTTTAGTAACATGTTCAATGTTCATGGAAAGGATTGAAATGAAAATTGGAAAATTGAAGCTTGAACTTTGTCAAGAAGAAGGTCGCAAACTTTAAAGAATATCAACAAGGCCTTATTTATCATTTTTAAAAGATTATAAAATGCTCCTAAATAAGCAAAAGCAAGATATTTGATGTTTGATTATTGATGCTGCCCACAATGTCTTGGGCACATGGATGATGGAAGTGAGCTCAACTTCAATAATCAGACCTAAGAATCACAATGGATATAGCCATGAGCCAGACTGCAAAGTATGGCAATTTTGTCTAGATTTTGTCAGTGTGGACTTCTTCGTCTGGTGCGGATTAGTGTGGTGCGGTGCGGATTTGGTTTAGTGTGGTGCAGATTTAGTGTAGCGGGGTGCGAATTTGGCTTGCTGTGGTGCAGATGTGTAGCATTGTGGGGATTTGAGGTCAGTGCAGATTTTGACTGGCCATTTTGGGGTTTGGTGCATTTTTTGTTCTCTCAGCCCCCTTTGGTGTGAATTTTTGGGCTCTGTTTGAAGGGTTTGTGTCAATTTTGAACTTGGGAGTTGGGCCTGTGCTCCTTGGCGACCTGCGAGCCATACTCTGCAGTACTGGCCTGGGCCCACGAGCAAAGTAACTAAATATAGTCTGTTCAAGATTCAATATAATAAGTCTGCAAAACACATTCCAGCAATTGTAATTGAATCAGAATGAATTGTAGTGACCTGCATTTGTATTTTTGTTGTGTCTGTGAAAAAATAATAAATATACCTACCTATTGGAAAAATCGTGGCCTTTCAGCACATTTGGCAGAGTTGTGTGACTCTGATTTAGTGGCTCATGTGGAACGCAACGAGCTGCGGAACAAGCTTGAATAGCATTTTGCCTCAGGGCTATCTGCCAGAAACATTTCATCTGCATAAATTTGCCTACAGGCAAGTCTGACAAATTTGTGGATTAACTGGGGACCTTGGAAGCATGCATATTAAATTCTAGCCCACCAGCTCAGCCCTATTCTCAGTTTCAGCATTCAGCATGATAACAGTTCTGATCAAGTTCTGATTGTCACCACTGAGACACCAATTGAGTCTTCTGAAATTTTGCCTTGTTATTAGATTATTTGTAAGAGTTTCAGCTACATTTAGACCAAACGTTCCACTCTCAAAGATCTGCGACCTACCCCACTCGTCCAGTAGGATGCCTGTCGCGCAAACAGTCCAGCAGTGAGCTGCCAGCCGGCACGCAGGGCAGCAGCAGGCGGCGGCAGCAACGGCAACTAGTGAACATGTCTTGGACTACAGCCACGACATGATCTATGCTAGCATCTATTCAATTTGTCCATGTACAAGTCTCACAGCTCCTGCCCGAGGTCGCGCAAGCCAGGGAACTGACCACCTCCAGCCCAGGCGTGGTTCACTGACTCAAGACATTTCAACTGACCAGTCAGAGTTCATGTTTTGCAACTTTTATCCAAGTTATTTGTAATTGTAATATTCTAAACTGAATTTTAGGCATGACTTCATTTTTCAAGAGCTACACAGAACACACCTTCCCTGTACAGCACGTCTATTGTCCTAACATTAGTCACATAGTTGCAAGAAGCGACTTGAATGCGGAACCTGCCTGTTTTGAAGCCCTGTTGTCTGTTGGATGACACTGCACAGAGGTGTGATTATGTGACCCCATCCTTAATCACACAGAGGTATGGGGTGTGATTATGCTGCTCTTTGTCAGGTGCAATATGTGTGTCAATGATCACAAAGTATTCTAAAGGTTTAAAAAATGCACAGCATGGCCTAACAAAGCACATTACCTAGGTTTTGACAAGCAGCGCACTGCGCAGCGACTGTGGTACAAAGGTCCAGTCCCATGCTCATGTTAGTAGCTGGATCTGCTCCCAGGAAACAAAGGTAAAACACTATTGACAGCTTTAAGATGAAATCTGCAGGAAAACTAAGCCATCTATAAAATCTAACATAAGCTTAAAAGTGTAACAGAGCATTTCTGATTCAACATGCAGCACTTCCGCTTTCATCCGCCATCAGCAACTCAGTTCAAAGAATGATACATTACATCACTAAAATTTATTTCAAAACGCCTCTGCATGGTGTTTACACAAACAACAGTTCTTTACTAGGCATGGTCGACCTCAGGCCACCCACACTTCAGCATACAGGGTATTATCAATGTTTAACGGCTCAAGGTTAGTCGTCTTGGATGCTCAGAAATAAAAAGGTGAACATTCATTGTCTCTTCCTTAGTTGTCACCATCAATAGATTGTGGACTCCTCAGAGCATGTCTTGATTATGGAGTTGAAACAGCAGTGAGCAAATCATTTGTCATTTTGATACTATGATTAATTTTAGAGAGTTGCACACTTGAACTTGACACCTGCCATTGATAAGTTCATGGCTCTTGCATTCTTCAGTCACATTTAGGACGGCCTCTTAACTATTTAAATACAAAAATAAAAATACTACAAGGATTAGAAGACTATTAGAATTAGTTTGGCATATCAATTTATTTCTCCACCTCGTGGCACCGGAACGAATGGGCGCTGTTCCAAGAAACGTTGTTATTTTTCAAGGTTTCAATAAAAAACAAGTCGACAGATACAGAAACTTCGGAAAAGGCGGTGACGTCACAGGTTTTAAGTGCCAATACCAATACATTGTGGCACTTATTTGCACAGATGTCAAAATCAAACACAAATTTCTTTGCGATGAAGTAATTGCTGGAGAAACGGTTTTCACGGCTCTGATTTTCAAAGAACGCCCATCAAGATGGCTATCTCAACTCAATTCTAATGTTAAGGTGGGACAGTCCCTTTAACTTTTGTGTTTTGCGATGTTTTGACCTTATTTAAAGCACTGAAAGCTCAAAATGTATGGTTTATGTTGTTTAAAGCAGCATATTAATAATTATGTTTGTAAATTATCGATAAGCTGCTTATAGCAGGTCACGTGATTGCTACCAGATTATGTGCTCAGAAAGCATCTTTTCAACTTCGATTTTGAACAATTTTTACCTCCTTTGAGGCCAAATGATGGACGGTTTGAGGCACACGATGAAATGCTGAATCTATTGATGCCAAAATTTGTTCGTTTTTTGCATTTTTAGACTAGTATGTCCTGGCTCAAACTTTGACCAGTTTGTGTGTAAACCCTATGGTGAAGGGAAAACTTCACGCCCAGCAGGCGCCATTACAGTGCTGCCAAATCGTGTTTGGTGGGGGTCGCTCGGGATCATGTCAGGGCCTGGTCGAAAATGACAAAATTGCATATTCCCAAATAAGTAAATTGGCATGCATCGTTTTCATTGCAGAGGGAATTCCAATTTGTAATTCTGAACCGAGGAATGACAGTGCAAATAAATATGCTCATTTTGTAATTAATTTTTGAATATTCCGCAGCCATTGGCCATAAGGTTATCCCGTTATCCTAAGATACAAATGTATATTCAACAAATATCTTTAGGTATATTCTCAATTTTCTTCAATGTTTTACTAGAAAACAATGTCTTAATGTCAATGTCAATGTCTGTCTTATAATTTTATGAATTACATATAGGAGCATTAATTCCTGCCAAAGCTGAAAACCTAAATAGAAGTTCTAAACGAGAAACTCGTAATCCGAATTTCTAAGTAGAAGCTTGTATTCCAAATTTGCTTAGACTCCACCTACTGTGACCAAATGTTTGCCAAATAATGATCGTAAAAACGACTAATGAAAAGATTAAAAAGTTTCACGAAAATTTCACTAGCACCTACAATCAGTGTCACCCAGCGAGTGAGATGGCCACAGACGAGCGTTCATTACTGAGGCGATCGATTATCAGTCTGCTAAATTATGTCCGTGCGCGTGACTGTAGCCGGATTATTCGTGTGAACCGATGTCGTCGGGACAGGCGACAGGGCGGGCGGCGCCGTCTGATCAGCCGCAGACAGGCGCCGGACAGATAGCAGACGCCTCTCTGTGTTCCCAGTGGGGTAGACACGCACTCGACGTGAGACTGCAGCGGTGTCGTGAATCCGCTGGGGATGTGACTGCTTAGCGATGACAATAGATAAAATGGGGGGATGGCGTGTCACGTTTGAGATCAGCATTATGATTAAATCAATCGCCGAGCTGTTTTTTTTCTGGTTGGACATTGCAGGGCTTTAGTAGGTAGCATGGGTATAATGAATAATAAGAGCCGTTTTCACGGCGTCTATCTGGTACACAGTTAGTTCACATTTGGTGCAGATTTGATGTAGCTTTGGTCAACTTGGGTTCATTGTGTTTCTTAGAAGTTATCAGCTAGGGTGGATCAGTTGCTTATATGCATGTTTTTTTTCTCAAATAATCAGATATTATTGTCGAATAAAACACTGAACTAAATTTATGATATAAAGATATTTGTTGTAAAAAGATATGGTGGTAACAAAAACAAAAGATATGGATATGGTAACAAATGGTCCAGTTTGGACTTTGGTTATACATTTGCCAGACATCGCGTCGTGAAGACGGCTAATATTATTTTATCAATGGAACACAAGCTGTTTTATACAGCAGGACACAACACTGATCGAATCATCTCTAACACAAAAGAGTCCAAAATTAGCCCACCCTGGCTGGGAGTGACTTACTGACTTGGCCCCCTCAAGTTTTTTAAGCTGCCTTTAAATCCGTTAAAAAATTAAATGAATCATTTCATGGGTACCTTATCCTACATCGAAGTCATTAAATCGGAAGAGGGTGCTATTCCACTAGGTATTGCAATGCGTAGCTTGACTGAGACTTCTCCAACTGAGTCACAGAAGAAAAAAAACTACCACTATTAAATGTCACCTTATGTAACATCAGAGGCCTGTTTCACTAAAAACTTGCGATTACAAGTGTTTGAACTTTACAATTCATAAGTATTTTTGCAAACTATGTAAAATCGGATTTCACTAAACTTCATCATCAGCGGCACCTCCGATAAAAAGAGTTTGCAAAAAAACTTGTAAACAGTAAAAATGTTTTTAATCAAGAACTACAACATGTTACAGATATTGATTCTTCTTATCAAATTATGTCTAGTATCATGTCAAAAGATGCAGGAATAAATTATAAATAATGATGCTGTTTCTAAATGGTATAAATGATAGTTCACAATATTTTATTATTGAAAGAAAATAACACCCAAAACATTTGACAGCAGAAGACTGTTGAATGCAATTATGGCGCGCGAATGACAAAACATGACGATATTTATTTATTGCTCGTAGCTGGTTCGTAGGGATTGTGCTAAGTAAAAAAGAGCATACAATGATTCAGCATATCATATTTGTTTTAAATAATTGATTGCTTTGCATCATTGCACAAAAATTAATAAAATTCCGAACGTAAGAGCCACTGGAATTTCGTGTTTGTAAGTACAACGTTTTCTTTCAAGTTTTTGGTCTTCGTGAAACAGAAAGTTTGCGATTTCGATGTTTCTTTCAAACTTTTTTCTTGTAAAAAAGTTGGTAAATTTTACACTCAAAATTAATGCTCGTAGGTTTCGTGAAATCCAAATTTCAAATGTTGGTAAATATTTCTTTTAAACTCAAGTTTTTTCTTTGTAATTACACACTTTATTTGTTAGTGAAACAGGCCTCTGGTTTGAGAGTTAAGAAGTTAACTTAAAAATATAGGCATATGTAGTTTCACTACAGGAAAGATGACTAAATGACCTCTGATATAGGCTTATCGTTAAGTGACGAAGGAATATTTCATACCAAGGCAAATCAACATCGAATGTAGGTATATACCTACCTACCTACTGGTCACTTGTAAGTAAACTGAATACCATCATTATCAGAAGCAGGTGTGAATGAAAGCCTGCTGGTCAGTAGGAATATGTTTCTCAAGATATGCAAGGAAGGGTTGTGACCCATGTGCTTCAGTCTGTCACCTACCTGTCTACCTGTCTGTCTCTGGTAACAGTGACTGGCACTTGTTGTGTTGTGATGAACGATTCATATGTCAGCATAACTCCTTTTTTAATTCAACTTTATCTAAGTATATCTAAGAGCTCATTTTGATGGTAAATGCTTACACGACACATTTTTGCTATTTATGGTTAATGCACAACGTGTGCCTACAACTCTCCGGCAATTTCGGTGGCAACAGTTCGAGGTTGACCCGCTCCGTTGTCCGATACTTGAAACTGTTGAGTTATTGAGTGGGTCTGGTGGACTGCGGTTTTTAGGGGTAATAGTGAAGTCACTGGTTGCCTCTGGCTCTGAAGCTGAAGTCACTGGGTGGCTCTGTTTCTGGTGCAATCTCTGGCTTCCACAATTCGTTGATTCAAAAGATTTCAATACTGCTATTTTCGTAAACGGTTACATAATTGTTGTATTATTGAGTCACTAACATTTAACAATAAGTTAACTCGTAATGTTGCAGGCCTTCGCTGCCGATACCGACCGACCGGTAAATTCAGGACAGGCTAACGGATGGTGTTGTCCGCCGGAGCGGCCCACGCCCAAGCTAAGAGGACCCGGGGACCCGTCAGCGGCGGCCGACCGGCCGGCCCGCCAGATCAGTCACCGCTTATCTCTCAATTCGGCCGCGGCGGTCCAGTCCGCTGGCCGACCGGTGCGATTTCTCAGTGGATCTGTGAGCATTTCTCAGCGGCTATCGGCCGATCGGTGCCGCGCCCCCGTCACCCCTCTCACTCTGGGGGATGAGCGGTGCGTCTGGGGCGCCATTTTCGCGTGGCTCTGCGGCCGCCGATCGGCGGCTATCTCAGCCAATCGGCGCCGGGCGGCTCGCGGCGGCGTAAGCCGGGGGCGGTGGCGGCCGCAGCGGCTACCGTCGGCGGCCGCCGCCGCGCTCCAGTCTGCCCCCGCCCGGCCGGCACGCGGACGGTCGCCTCTCCTCTCCGGCGCCCAGATGACGTCACCGGTCGACTCGCCGGCCCGCCTGGCCGCGCTCGAGTCGTACCTGGCGCTGCGCTCGCACTGCCTGCTCTCGGCGTTCGGCTCCGTCTCGGCGGCGCTGGGCAGCTCGGCCGGCAAGTTCGACTTCAGCCGACTGGCCGAGTCGGCCACGGAGCCGGTGCCGCTGCTGCCGCCGCTGCTGCCGGTGCTGCCGCCGGCCGGGCCGCTGGCGCCCGGGCTGCTGGCCGGCCTGCGCCTGCCGCCCGCTCGCCGCCCGCCGCCCGCCGGCCGCGGCCGACCCACCCGGCCCAAGAAGCAGTTCATCTGCCAGTACTGCCAGCGCGAGTTCAGCAAGAGCTACAACCTGCTGATCCACGAGCGGACGCACACGGACGAGCGGCCGTTCCCGTGTGACGTCTGCGGGAAGGCGTTCCGCCGGCAGGACCACCTCCGAGACCACAGGTGAGAGATGCTCGGAGACCCCGGCCGACCAGCCGCGGCCTCACGGCTCAATCTGTGTTCGCCTACGTATGTTTTTGTTCTCTGCGTAGACTAGCCATTCATAAACTTGTTTCAACCACTGATTTTTGTGTGGAAATAAGTTATTGGTTTTGTATTACAGGCCTGCAAATGAATTGACGTAGGCAATTTTCAAACAATGAATATGTCACTCAATAGAAATGAGTGCCATCGATAGAGACGTGTGATTCGCTGCAGCTACTCCTCAGCTCCTGACTGATTTTGGGGAAAAGCCTTTTTATCCTTTAGCCTAAAAACCTTAAGGATTGAAGCTTGCGATAAGCAGCTTCGTCATGATATTGAGACTAAGAGAGAAAACGAGATCCATGGTGACAAATTACCGGTATCGCCCCATGGGGATGTGAACTGAATGCTGCGCTCCGCCGTCAGAGAGTGCATCCGTTCCACCGGTTATGAGGTAGGGAGGTGCACCGTCCGTCCAGTACCTTTGTCCAGTGTTCACACTATATCTAGAGTGGCGGGCCATATCGCAGTCGATAATGAATCCACGTCACTCCGTCGACCGCTCCCTCAAACTGGCGAGGTGAAACTCCGCAGCGATTACATACTACATGACCCTACCATCGGAACAAGTTGTGAAGGATCAGTGAGGAGCAGCTGCGGCGAACGGCACACCTCACCCGGCGCTGAGCTGGGCTGGGCTGCCACAAACGAGGTGGATGCTCCAAATCTCCTTGAGCGCCAGATAAATATATCTTCCTTGGACATCAAGTGAACAGCAAATGCCCTCACAATGATGTGTTGCTTTGTTGCCTAGGTCGAGTGTTGCAAACTACGTCTCGGTAACCACACCTTATTCTTTTATCATTTATGGACCATTAGTAATTGCACTGTAATGTTGTTTGTTAATTGTTTATTACTCCATTCGAAACCAAGGCTTACACATACCAATATAGCGTTGAGCCCCCTACTCTATAAATCAAGAGGTGACTTAACCTTCCAGGAAGTGAGAACACTACTTGTAGCGTACATTGTTCAAATTAGCTAGAACCCACCACCTGGAAACGATCGCGTCAATGCCATCGTCTAATCGACTCTGAAAGAGCAGAGGCCAACGATAAACTGTCTCATAACTCCCGTCAAATCATTACCGGCTAGGTTTGTAGCGGTGATAAATTATCAATATCGTTGCTGGAAAGTCTGGCGCTGCACGATTCTCGCGCTACATAATACATCCAGCACACGACGTCATAAATTCAGCATTATGCATCGTCAACTGTTGCCGGCGTTTGACTTACGTCCAATAAAGGCTGGTGGCGACAATGGGCGCGCACGCTAATCACGGGCCTGAATGGCGCCCTAATACCCCATCAGCGATGTTTATGGAGGGGCGGCGCGCTGTGGTTGCCGCTCGGCGGGGAGCGGCTCGGCCAGCGCCGGGCCGGGCCGGCCGGCCGGTGAGTCGGACGGCTCTCCGGGAACGGAGCCGGGGACACTGCTCGGCTGGCCAGCCACCTCCGGTCGGCCGGCTGCTGTCTGGAACTCCCCACAGTGCTGGGAACGCCGTGAGCTGTCGGGAGAGATTAACCACAGTGACACCGCCCGGCTCTGTGCGGGCGGCGGATGACACAGCGGCGCCGTACTTACCACCGCGCCGTGAGCTGTATCACGTGCCGGTCACCGGCGCCGTGCAGACGTCATTGGAATCAGCGTCAGCCATGACGATGTCGCTGACGTCTCCTCCTCTCCTGTTCGCAGATACATCCACGCCAAGGAGAAGCCGTTCGTCTGTGAGGTATGTGGTAAGGGCTTCTGTCAGTCGCGCACTCTGGCGGTGCACAAAATCCTTCACCTGGAGGAGTCGCCGCACCGCTGTCCCACTTGCGGCCGCAGCTTCAACCAGCGTTCCAACCTGAAGACCCACCTGCTGACCCACACGGACATCCGGCCGTACAGCTGCCCCGACTGCGACAAACTGTTTCGGCGCGCGTGCGACCTGCGCCGACACGCGCTCACCCACTGTCTGGGTCCGCAGCAGGGGGGCGAGGGAGCCGAGCGGGAGCAGCAGCTGCCCGGCAGTGGGGAGCAGCTGCCCGGCAGTGGGGAGCAGCTGCCCAGCAGTCAGCAGCACCTACCCGGCAGTCAGCGGCAGCTGCCCGGCAGTGGGGAGCAGCAGGAGCAGAGACCCGGGGCTGACCGGCGCGGCAGCGGCTCCCAGGAGCAGCGGCTGGACACACACGGCAGGGAGACTCGGCGGGGCGCGGAGCCGGAGCGGGGAGCGTCCGGGAGCCCGAGGGAGCCGGGGCGCGCTAAGCGGGAGCCGGAGCGCGCTGGGCGGGAGCCGCCGGTGACCGTGCAGCAGCTGATGGCCGGCGACAAGATCAGGCAGCTGGCGGCAGCGGCGGCACCCACCTCGGTCAAGGCGGCCAGGTTCAGCATCGAGGCTCTGATGTCCGACTGATACTGCGTGAGCTTGGCTATTGAGGTTTGCCATTTGATGCCAGTTCAGCGATGCACACAACTATATGCATACTTTTGATTGTTAGTGCTTCGGTGGAAAAAAAAATACAAGGACTTAGGACTCTTGGATGTCAGTGGGTTTACCTGTTATGTTATATAGGAAGGCACACCATATGCTTCTAATTCTCATGTGTTCTTTGCATGATATTAAAGTGTAAGGACGTTGAAATGTGTGACATTTGAGTAAATTAGCTAGGATTATTTATAGAATGAGTGGGTTGGGTAGGTATTTTGATCCGATGAACCAGATATATTTTATTTGCTAACGTTCCCCATTCCGCTCACAAATCGAAACTACCTACTGAAGAGATTGATAATGTGTCTTACCTCCTGAGAAATGTGTACATATCGTTGTTTTCTATTGAGTGTTGACTATTTGTCATGTATTTATCTCAAATACATTTCAAGAAATGTACACTTGTTTCACCACCATTTGTTATCGATTATAATCTGCCGAAACAAAACCTGGAGTACACACTACACAAGTCCAGCCACTCGGACATAGACTTCATAAAAATTGCAAAAAAATGCTTTAAATTGCATAACTAGGCTGATGGCGTTGTCGACGGCGGGTCAAAGTGCACGCATTGAGCAAATGTAATAAAAAAAGAAACATGAATCACGACCCACAATTTAGCATCATGTGAGCAGGATGCTGCATCCTCAGTTGCTTTTTGTAGGCATATGCTATATATTCAAATTATAAGCGGCCAATCACAGTTAACATTTAGCATATTTTACAAAGGCTACAGATGTCATTGATCATTTTACACATGTGTGTAGCTGATTGTTCCTCAGTAGAGTTTCGGGCGACACCAGTTCTACTTTACCCTCCATCTGATAAAGCAATCATTCCGTTATGCATCCGACCCCGGGCCGCCACGCGCCCCGCTATAAACGGGTTTGTTCGGCGGAATAGGTGGCACCGTCCATTGTGAGGAGCTTCTCCTGGAATATATCGCAACAGGCAAGCCTTTTTTAATGGATAATGCCAGCGATGCAGTTGAACAAACGCCGTTTTCGGGAGTGAACTTCCCAGAAACGCTATAGCATTGTACGGGAAGGAACAAGAGTATCGAACAATTAACACTCGCCCCATTAGAGAGTTTATCTTCGTGTATGTACAGGACACGGCTCATCGACCAGAACACAGCGGTGTGTCTCCTTCCCTCGTCTCCGTCCCCTGTCCCCCGCCCTCCTGGCCTCCGTCCCCGTCCCCGTGACTCGTCTCCCGTCCCCGTCCCCCATCACCTGTCACCCATCACCTGTCACCCATCACCTGTCACCCAGACACCAGCCGGTGACAGGTGAACGAGGTCAGTGTCGGTGACACTCATCCGTAAACTGGTGTCGGCTCACCAACACCAGCACAGACGGCACGCAACAACAGCGCGGCGACAGAAATGAGACAGCAGAAAAACTGGACACCGCGTCCCTATGTTCCAGCGCCGTGTCAATTGAGCTAGCATTTGAGTCCACCTTATGTCAGTGTGGAACCGTTCAGCTGAGTCATTCATTTACGGCCTACAATGACCAACTAGCCTTGATTAATTCAATACCACTCACGTAAATGGGAATGTGTAATATAATACACGACCTATCTCTTAATTTCCATTTTTCAAACCTCATGCTACGCAACCGTTGGAGTTGCGAAAAAATGAACGGTTTGCGATCTGTCTTACCGGATCCCATTAAATGGAACAGCCTTTCTTTTGTTCCTGCTCAAGGAAAATATCGGAAAATTCACAAAACTGGTACGACAAATTAAAACATTATAATTAATATGTCCACTGTTAGACCACGGGTGACGTTTAACACAACTATCGCCGATCTAAGAAAAATCTAAAAATGGAACAATTACTGTCGGAGCGACTCCCGGCTCGGTTTTTATGGCCACCTCGTCACGGTCCGCCGTGCGTGACAGCGTCACACTGATAAGGGCTGAATCACCGGCCAGTTTTACCGAGATGTGACGGGCCGCCGCACACTGTTCGGTGGCCTCACAGGGGGGCCCGACACCCCCCTCAGCACGCCAGCGGCCACCGGTCAGCAGCGCTCAGCGGGCTGACGGCGCCACCACGGACTGCCACCACGGACCGCCACCAGTCCCTCAGCGACGGTCAGTGATAGCCATCCGTTCCCAGGGGAGGCCAGGGAAGGGCTCCCGGACCGGGCCCCAGGCCAGACGCACCCCACTCAGCCGCGGTGAGCAATTATAGAAATAAATCCCGCATATGCCTCATCATTACCCCGACGACCTTCTGGCCAGCTCACCGACAAAGCCCCACGGACCTCTCCAATTGTCGAGTTTGATTCTTTTTCCGTCGATAATTACAGCTATGGCTCTTTGCGGCCGCGCACCTGATTGCTGTGCCTCTGCGCAGAGCCAGAGAAAGGCTCGGCACAACGCTATAAAGACGTCTGTTTCTCAAACTATTCGGCACTTTTTCTCGCTTTCGGCGCAATTACAGCGAGGCCCACGGCCTGTGTGATAACCGTTTCTGCGGTTATAAACCACGTGAAAATGGGTCGGTGCGCGCGCGCCGGGGGCCGCCCCGCCCCGGTGGTGGTCGGGGGCAGCCGTACGTCGCGCACGGCAGCCGCTGGTGGTCAGCTAAGTGACACCGTGGTCGGCCCCGCGCCACCGCCGGCCAATTTGTCACTAATTGGAGCCGGCTCCCGGGTCCCGCCCCACTGACCTTCTGAGCCCGAAAATGGGACTACCATGACAGTGGGTGAGGCCTGTGTGTCTTATTCAGTGAAACGGCATGCTATTTAGAATTGCGCGATTACGATACTGGTAGATGACATGAAATAAAAGATCAATCCGTCTCCTTTTGCTTCCATGCATAGCACATAATGCATAATGCATATTGCACATGCTATTTTGCTAATATCGATATTTCTTATCACAAGAAAGGTGACATTTTGATTACCTAATCTTACTTTATATCTTATCTTTTTCCTTATCTTATACGCAGATAGGCATGGAGATAAAAGACGTAAGTCCACTAGACAGTTTGACAATTATTTTCTTCCACCTTGAGCGCAATTCACTGGAAGTGTAAATTAGCCTTTGATTAATGGAGCCCTTCCCACGCTACTTAGACTTTTGACTCGTGCATTTTTACTTGCGTTTTGCCTCATTTTCGTTGTAAGGCCGATTGTCAAAGCACTGCCCGGAATGATGAAACCACCGGAAGCTGATATTCATGGCCACTAGCAGCGATACGATCGACATGTATAACGGCGGCTGCTGCTCTGCGGATTTTGGACAATATTGCAAATATCTCTCATACGCTGTTCCATAACGTCAAGGCTTGACGGCTTCTTTCGGTGGTTGTTTGTGAATTGTTTAATATAAAACACTCGTACTGATAATTACCGCCGTCAGGCAAAGCGCCGTTTGCGACCGTTGGCACATTTAAACTTTTGAGTGTATATTTAATTAATCAGGAGGCAGTCGGTATCCGTCTTTTTACACGGATCATTAAGGAAAAGTTGTCCTGCCACCGGTATCTTACCCTGTTTTTTTATGCGCAAACCGGGCTTCAAATAGAAATGGTGTGCCCTTTCAGAAGCGCGTAACACTTTTTGAGTGGGCAAATAAGTCGTGCTAAAGGCTCATTATGTTCCCGCTTCACTTTGATTCACGAGGAAACTTGTACTGGCACTTAACGACATTGTTTCCCATAAAAACCATGGTAAACTCAAACTGCGCTAAAGGGCCACTTGGACTGCACACAAGCACTTATTAATAAATGGTATAATATTGTTATTTCAGACACTCAAGATTAATTTGACTGCCATTTGGATGTTGAACAACAAAAACTACGTTTATGCCACGATGGAGCACTCCACATCGTTGGCATTTGGCAACAGCCTGCTGCACCGACGTCCAATTTGCACCCTTCCTGGCTATCGTGTTAATGATGTCACACTGTGATTATCGACGCCGCATTAGCATACGACCCCGGAGAGGTCGGCACCGGGTACCGCACCTCTCGCCAGGGTACCGCCGGCCGGCGCCGGGTACGTACCGCACCTCTCGCCGCGGTACTGCCGGTCGGCGCCGAGTACCGCACCTCTCGCCGGTGTACCGCTGGCCGGCGCCGGGTACCGCACCTCTCGCCGGGGTACCGCCGCCCGGCGCCGGGTACCGCACCTCTCGCTGGGGTACCGCCGGCCGGCGCCGGGCACCGCACCTCTCGCCGGGGTACCGCCGGTCGGCGCCGGGTACCGCACCTCTCGCTGGGGTACCGCCGGCCGGCGCCGGGCACCGCACCTCTCGCCGGGGTACCGCCGGTCGGCGCCGGGTACCGCACCTCTCGCTGGGGTACCGCCGGTCGGCGCCGGGCACCGCACCTCTCACCGCGGTACCGCCGGTCGGCGCCGAGTACCGCACCTCTCGCCGGGGTACGTATGTACCGCCGGCCGGCGCCGGGCACCGCATCTCTCGCCGGGGTTCCTCCGGCCGGCGCCGGGTACGTACCGCACCTCTCGCCGCGGTACTGCCGGTCGACGCCGCCCCTCTGAAGGTCAGTCGGTCTGCGGGCGAGGCTGGCGGGACATACCGATATATACAGACGGACAGACAGGCAGCGGGCGCGACCAGTCTCACACGGGGAGTCGGGGGAGGGCAGGTGGGGAGAGGGAGCGGAGAGAGGGTAGGTGGGGAGAGGGAGCGGAGAGAGGGCAGATGGGGAAAAAGGGAGCGCAGCTGAGAGGCCGTCCATCGGCATACCATCCCCGACAGCCCTCCTCGAATCGTGTTATGTGACGGGAGTGTTGTTACAGGCACTTAGCAGTGGACAGTATAAGAGTGTCTCCCATCCGGTGAAGCAGTGCCACTTTCACAACATTGGAAAAAAAATCAAACTATTCCACTAAGAAGCAAGAGCAAACATCGATAAAATTTGATTGTCCGATTTCCCATGAATTCCGATTTCCGATTGGCAATACTACGAGTTATTCCGGTGCCCCGCGTATGCTATCGCTGCACCATTATTGTAGCTGTCGTCCTGATACCGCACCGAAAAACCTGATGCATGGTGGACCAATCAATAGAATTGCTCCTCTTTCAGATAAGCAAACTTTGATCTTCTTAGCGGCGGGCTTACTGTCGTCAAAATTGCTGATACGACATACGATTTTTCGCGTCCGCGTTTTTGAATGTTACCCATAATATGTAGCGTGGATTGCTTCGCAATTGTGATTTGCATCATACGAAACACCATTTCGGTCACACAATGACTCATTTCTAGTATGTTTCCGGAAAGTGGGTAATTCATAGCAGCAGTCACTTATGACTTCGAGGTAAGCTGCATTATCATTTCTTGGAGTTTATCAATATGATTAAAAGCGTAGTTTCATATGATACACAATTTCTTTGAGCATGATTGTAATAAATAAAAATGGTAAAATTGACCTCTCTCTCTCTCTCTCTCTCTCTCTCTCTCTCTCTCTCTCTCTCTCTCTCTCTCTCTCTCTCTCTCTCCTCTCTCTCTCTCCTCTCTCTCTCTCTCTCTCTCTCTCTCTCTCTCTCTCTCTCTCTCTCTCTCTCTCTCTCTCCTCTCTCTCTCTCTCTCTCTCTCTCTCTCTCTCTCTCTCTCTCTCTCTCTCCTCTCTCTCTCTCTCTCTCTCTCTCTATCTCTCTCTCTCTCTCGCTCTCTCTCGATCCTACCGTGTCTTATCAAAGGTACAACTGATATTGTGCACATAATGTTAGCACTAAACGCTCGTCATCGAACAACGATATAAAACTCATGTGTTATGGCTTCCTAGTATTACTATATAGTACTGACAGATCACCACCTTCTGCAAAGCCTTCGGCGTAACCGATACTTTTGTGGCTCTAACCATGCGTGCCAATGACGTGCTTGTAAACACATCATGCTGGTGCAACACTAAAAGTGACGGCACCGAAGCCACTAGAGCGTGTTTCACACGCGCTCACGTAATGCGCCGCCAGGTGGCCCGTGGCTGGCACATTCTCTGAAGTCATTTCGCCAGCGGATTAAGTTCACGTCATCTGCATCCAGCGGACGGCGGCGGCAGTTCGCCCCACTCCATGTAACCGCTCGATTTGATCTTTGGGCTACTCACACAGCACCTGGCTCGGTTGTATACATACGTAGCCCGAGCTCCACCCGACTGAAAGGCTACCGGGTCCAGTGAGGCGCGGTGAAGCGCCGTACTATCAGTGCTACGTGTCCTATGACGTCATATAAATTCGGCCGAGGTACATACATCTGCACCATCTGACTCATATACGTCACGCCCTGTTAGTCACCGTCATCAGCATGCTAAAGTGTGGAATAGCTGCACGGAGCAACAGCGTTTCATGCTACTGTTCACTTTTGGTTGATGTTCGAAAGTACTGAAAGACGTGAATGCATTTGGATCATTTGGTATGTTTTGCACTACGCAGATTAATTTGTAGCATTGCAAAGAAAATGAAGACGCTTAGTTCATGGCCAGGTCACGGCCTGACCCATAAAAACGTTTTCCTTCAACACATTTCATTCATCTTCTCGAATAATTCTGAGATCTTTGCTCCATGAATCATTCATGATTTATAGGAAACGGTGATTGAAGTTAATGGAATGTCTGCGTGTTTGCTGTTGCATGTCTTAGATTCATATCCTTTAGTAATTCACAGGAATTTGTTAATGGTATTGTTACAATGACAAATAACCCATTATCACTATAATTAGGGCTCTGGTACAGCCACTTGATAACCTCATAAATGTAAAGCGCGTTACACTCGAGCACCTAGGGGTATAACACCATGGCGCTGTAGAAGTACCTCAGCTACCGAATAGATCATTCATAGCATACCAAGTCAAAACACGGTTTTCCTGGTTCATAAGCTTGGAGGACCGTGTCACGCTTGTAGCAGTTGCTGTCACCAACACGCTTGCATGGCGTGATCGAGGGACCCGAAGCACTGATATACGAGTATGTATGCTGCATCAGGCCTCTGTTTATGTACGGTACTTTCCCTTTGATGAATCGTAGCATCAAACCGTCGTCTATAGGTGCAGGTGAAACCAGCCTGGACTCCAGAATAACAGCCAGTCTCCTCAGTGCGCCGTCCAAAAAAAAGGTGAGACTGTCCTCATAGTACACGGTCCAACTGGGCAGGTAGGTCTCGCATCCCTCTCACATTGCCCCAACAGACGGAAATAACTTTTGAAAATACCAATTTCCAATTTTAGTGTTTTCTGGACCAAAATTTTGCGAGGAATCCGATGGTGTGGTCCCCGAAATCTGAAAAATTTCCATTTTGGGGATAGCACCTATTTTTTGAAAAATAAATATTCGTCAGGCTCAATAGTCAAATAAATTGGAAATATACTGAGTTAATTTTTTTGTAACAACACTAGAATGTCGAACATGAATTAGAGATATAGTTTAGCTGAGATGATACTCTATCTGCGCATACATGTACATGAACTAGTACATAACCCTCGTCGGCCGAGGAGGGGTGGGCGGGTCCGCCTAAGGGCTTTTCGCGATAGCTTAAAACTCGCTTAGGGTAGACAGCTGAAACTTGGCATACCTAATCTTTTATTCAGCTGGATCTTTTGACCTCAACTGCGTTTTCAGGTCTGGTCAGGTCACTGACTATGACGTCATAATGAGCCCTGCGAGTCCTCAGATGTTGCAACTTTGCAACGCCCTCAGTGCCAGAGGAACTTCACAGGAAGATGAAACTTACAGGACGTAGTATCCTTCAGAGGTCTCACAACTTGTATATCTCGGATTTAACCTAAATATCACATGAGGTCAGGTCGGTCACGTGACCTCACCTTATAAGTCAATGGGGGAATACGAAAACTGTTATTTTGGCGCCGGTAATGATCTAATACTATCCCAAGCACATGAAATCGTGTGTTTCATGATCGGACCTTACAAAGAGTACATGAAACCACGATTTCATGTGCTTGGGACAGTTTTAGATCATTTCCGGCGCCAAATAGCAGTTTTCATATTCCCCATTGACTTATTATGGTGAGGTCACGACCGACCTGACCTCATGTGACATTTAGGTTAAATCCGAGATACAAGTTGTGAGACCTCTGAAGGATACTACGTCCTGTAAGTTTTCATCTTCCTGTGAAAGTTCCTCTGGCACTGAGGGCGTTGCAAATTGCAAACATCTGAGGACCTCGCAGAGGCTCATTTATGACGTCATAGGTCAGTGACCTGACTGACCTGAAAACGCAGTTGGGTCAAAAGATCCAGCTTGAATAAAAGATTAGGTATGCCAAGTTTTCAGCTGTCTACCCTAAGCGAGTTTTAAGCTATCGCGAAAAGCCCTATTAGGCGTCACCCGCCCCACCCCTTCTCGGCCGACGAGGGTTAATGTACTAGTTCATGTACATGTATTCGCAGATATAGTATCATGTCAGCTAAAATATCTTCTAATTCATGTTCGACACTTTCTAGTGTTGTTTCAAAATTAACTCATTATATTTCCAAATTATTTGACTATTAAGCCTGACGAATATTATTTTTCAAAAAATAGGTGCTATCTCCAAAATGGAATTTTTCAGATTTCGGAGACCACACCATCGGATTCCTCGCAAATTTGGTCCAGAAAACACTAAAATTGGAAATTGGTATTTTCAAAAGTTATTACCGTCTGTTGGGGCAATGGGCTCTTCCGCCGCCCTTTATAGGCAGGTGACTGCAGCACCATTTTGATGAGGAACATCAAGATATGATTATTATGTTGTGAAGTGCTTTGGCGAGGACATAGCGAGTAAAATACGTGAAGAGTCATTGACCTTTTTCTCGAAGAAGTAAAACAAAGCCAAAAGTTAATTTAATGCGGTGAGCTTTCGGCTACAAGCCTTCGTCAATCCAACAAAATGACAAACAAAAATGGCAATCATTTGTTGGTTGACGAAGGCTTGTAGCCGAAAGCTCACCGCATTAAATATAACTTTGGCTTTCTTTTTACTTCTTCGAAGAAAGGGTCAATGTTACGTAAGATATGATTATTATTGTGAGCCGAATTTATCTAATCGTAAATAGAGCAATAGCTTATTCACGAACTTGGAAATGCACTATGTAGGTGTCAAGTCAAGCAAAAACCGCTGTAATTTCTCTAGACCTTTCGAAGGTCAAGATTATTACCATAACCCTTGACGTATTTCTTCGCCTCAAGCCGGATTAGCAGGTTAGCAACTATCCCTCAGTCCTCACCCGTATTGGTTTTTGCCAGCGTCTTATGTATGGGAGGGTTCGTTGGACTCCTCCTTTGCCGTTCGGCCCCTGATCGAGCTAGAGCTTCGCAAAAAATGAGCATGTGCTCGTGACAGAGAAGTCGACAATACCCAATTTTAAGATACTAGGTCATTGATTGACCTTCAGTCAGGTCAATGACCCAAAAGTCGGGAAAATCGGGACCTGCTAGATCTTTGTTAAGTGAGGTTTTTAATAGTTTTTCGGGCGCTGATCACGAATTTTAGTTAGTTTTGATCACAGTGATGTCTTCCGGCATTAATGCTAGGTCGGGTCGGGTCAG